TGATGTTAAGGTGTATAATAGTAAGAAGAAAAAATATTAAGAAGAAAAAGAAGAAAAGAAGAAGACGACGACGAAGAAGAAGAAGAAATATAAGGAAGAAAATGGTTGAAAAAGAAGTCATGAAGAGAATAAAGAGGAGGAAGATATTAAGATGAATAATAATAATAATAATAATAATAATAATAAGAAGAAGAAGAAGAAGAAGAAGAAGAAATATTAGGAAGAAGAACGTTGAAAAATTATTAGGAAGAGAAAGAAGAAGAGAATTATATTAAGATGGAGAATAGTAAGAAGAAGAAAAATATTAGGAAGAAAAAATGAAAAAGAAGAAAAAGAAGCAGAAGAAATATTAGGAAGAAAATGGTTGAAAAAGAAGTTATCATGAAGAGAGTGAAGAGGAGGAAGATATTAAGATGAAGGATAACAAGAAGAATAAATAAAAATAAAAAATAATAATAAATAATAATAATAATAATAATAATAATAATAATAATAATAATAATAAATTGTCTTATTAAGTACAGATAAGGAGAACAAGTAAGAATCGGAAAAAAAAAAAAAAAAAAAAATGAAAATAACAATAATACGACCTGCCTTAGGTCTTTAACTTGGTAAGTGTGTCCAAGCAGAAATAATGAATGATGATGACAATAATAATAATAAGAAGAAGAAGAAGAAGAAGAAGAAGAAAAAAAAAGAAGAAGAAATATTAGGAAGAAGAACTTTGAAAAATTATTAGGAAGAGAAAGAAGAAGAGAATGATATTAAGATGGAGAATAGTAAGAAGAAAAATATTAGGAAGAAGAGGGTTGAAAAAGAAGTTATGAAGAGAATGAAGAGGAGGAAGGTATTAAGATGAAGAATAACAAGAAGAATAAATATTAGGAAGGAAAAAGAAGAACTAGGAAGAAAAAAGAAGAAAAAAGAATTAGGAAGAAGAAAGTTGAAAAAGAAATTATTAGTAAGAGAATAAAGAAGAAGAAAATATTAAGAAGAAGAAGAAAAAAAGAAGAAGCTGAAACCCCAATTTTCCACATAAGCATTGTTCTCTTGGAAATATATATTTCTGTTACCATTATTTATGGCTAACGATGGAACACAAAAAGATTTTTTTTTCTAAAACGAAAAAAAAAAAAAAATTTAAAAGAATTCAACGTTTGTTTTCCATTTTTTGTCTCTAGGCAAGTCAGTTTAGTCTTAAGAGGTTTCGATATTTCATGTACTTTTTCTTTTTAAACTTTAATTTTTTACCAATTGGAGACATCGATTTTTCTAGCCGATATTTCAGAAGAATATGAAGTCCCATTTCATTTGTCACAAACAAAATCAGTTCGATTTTTAGTTCAGCTTTTAATTTCAACTGAAGATAAACTAACCTCTCTCTTTCTTTTCCCTTTTTTACGCCACGTGTCTAAGTGGACAGTCTATGCCAAAAGCCAAAAATAGAATTTCAAATACGTATATTTTACACCCAAAACATTTTAACGATTATATGGGACATATATATATATATATATATATATATATATATATATATATATATATATATATATATATATATATATATATATATATATATATATATATACAATCATTTTAAACGTTTATACCTACGATAATATTGACGATAACTTTAGATAAAATATCGTTATTTTCAAGGTTTCAGGAAATGGATATCTCAAGCACGTTTAACACGTTAGCACCAGTTCTAGCATTAACTATAAAATTATAATAAAAAAGGCATTAATAAAAAAAAATAAATAAATAAAAAAGGTTTAAATTATAAAAAAAAAAAGTTTGAATAAAAGCCCTGTTTTAATTATGAAAAATAAATTTTAAAAATGCAGTATTAATTAGAAAAATTAAACGATAAAATCAGTACTGACAAAAAAAATATATATATATATATATACAAATGTATATATTAAAAATGTCCGGTATTAATAGTAGTTTTGCAAAAATATTAGGGATCTAAAAAAAAACCTAAATAGTTAAGCGTTCATCAAAATACAGAATTAATTATACAATTTCATTCTCGAACACAGTAACGCTCAGTTAAAATCAGGTGTGACTTGTAAAATAAAAACATCTTTCCGCTAATAATTCTAGACTTATAAAAAAAAACATCCAGTAAAAATTATATCTTAGGTCAATAGATTAATTTGTTTTCTATGGTTTAGTAAATAATTACAGGTTATTTAAAGCCAGGAAATACTTTTAGATTGCAAGAATTTTTTATTTTTATTTTAGATAATGATTAAGTGATACAAATCTTACTAATTAACCCATAGGGGAGAAGAAGTGGATTTATACCTAATCATAATTTGATAAAGAAACAATAAATTTTAATGCAGGTATAAAATGAGGGATCAATGCTATCTTATAATCATTATATAAACAAATTCCTCATTTTGTGGTCGTTTCTATATTCCAAAGAATGTAAATAAATCTAAAAGATATGCTTACGAACCTAATCAGTATTTGATGGATTGATTCTTTTTCTTACGGTTTATCAACCCCAGGTTATTTAAAGCCAGAAAATATTTTAGAAGTCTTGAACAGTTTTTTGGGGGTCATTTCCCATAGGTAGCTGTTAGCTTTGTCGTATCCATAAAAATTCGCCCCAAAAGTAGTTGTTTTGAACTTTAAATAAGAGAAAAATTATTATACATGGTTAAAAAGAAGTGCGACATAATTTTTTTATTAGAAATTTTATGATGAAAAAAAAAAAGTATTTTATGATTAAATTTTACTCCCGTCAAAATATCCTCCATTAAGATTGATTACTGCAGCACGAATTTGTGGCATTCGTTTTTCAAAATATAAGTTTGATAATTGATTCCATTTTATTTTCAATGAATCTAGGAACTCCTTTTCATTTTTTCCCCTCTTCTGTCATGCTAATTCTGGGCGTGGCTTCAAACTTTTGAAGTGTAATGTAAATTTAGAAAAAAAAAAAATTATACTGTCACCGTGTCGTGTCTATAAAAAGTAAATAAATAAAATTTAATTATAGTGCAAAATATAATTATAACAAAATAATTATAACAATGATAATTATTATTAATTCACTCATTCTAAACCAATGAGAATCGGCCCCAACTATCTTCTCGACACACACAAACACATGACATTCTTAGTATCAGGCAGTGCACAGGTCGTTAACACGTGCTTCAACGAAAATGTCATCTCCTTTTCCCATTTCAGCTCATAATAGTAACATTTATCTTTTAGCACTGAACAAAAATTCGGGGTAAGAAAACTTCAGGCATTTCTTGTATTTCCTAAATAAATGATTTGGCACTAATTACCCACAACAATAAAAAAAAAAAACCCAAAAAACTCAAGAGAAAGACCGTATGCATTTGACATGTTTTTTGTCTTATCCTTCTGTCGGACACCGATTCATATTTGATCTATGTCTCACCCGAGACTCACAACTTTTCTCGTTTCTCTAACACCACTTAACAACCGGATAATAAATAATACTCGTTTTTTGCTGTTTCGCATTTTTATGAGTATATATATATATATATATATATATATATATATATATATATATATATATATATATATATCAGTGAACATAGAAGTCAATACTTAGAGGCGACAGTCTGTTTCATGCTAGATACAATCGTCTGGCCACGAGTGCTGTTATTTTTCTCGGCTATTTATTTATACGGGTCAGTGGTGCATTGTGTGTAGTCTATTTTAGTGGTTATTTTGCCGGAAGTAGTTTATTTGTTTATTTATTTATTTGGGTTAAATCATTTTGATTTTTTTTATTTATTTTTATTTTTATTTCTTATCTTATATATTTATTTATTAATTTATTTTTGTTTTAATTGGTGTTTTTATTAACGTAGTAAAAATTTGTTTATATCGCTTATTTAATAGCTTTGTTTTGGTTTGGGAAGATAATAAAAGCTATTAATTTAATTTTGGGGTTGATTGTTGTAGTTTATTCTAACTATTATTTTGGCGGGAACAGTTTTTATTTTGTTTATTATTTAACGTATTTATTTGGATTGATTATCTTTATTTGTGTTTTCTAACGGTTAGTTTATCAGGATCGGTTTGTTCATTTATTTGGATGAATTAAGATCAATTTATTTTACTTGTTATTTATTTGTTATACTGTATATTTTCGGTTTTCGATTTTTATTTCATATATATATATATATATATATATATATATATATATATATATAAGGGGAGTTATAATTATTTAGTCAGAGTAATAAATCCTCTGCACCACCCCTACGTGTGAGCTGAAATTCCCCCTTTTTTTAGAATTATTTTACTTATACCGTGTGTTTTTGTTTGTCTTTAAAGTCTTTTCCGTTCACTTAATTTATTACTAGAATGTTTGGGGAGGAGGTTGTATTGAGAAAAAGAGAGACAGAGATATTAGAATAAAGTGAGTGGGAAGAGAAGAAATTATCGTCTTCAACAGGTAAAACTTTTTGGAGGTGAAGAATTGAATTGCATCTCTAGGATTCCATCCGATGATTAGCTGTCCCCACGCCATCACGCAAGGTGGGATGAATTTCATGTTTTAGGGGTATTTTCCGATAATCTAAAAAAAAATAATTATTCTACGAATCCTGACCAGCTTTGCATTTCTTTTGTCTTCTTTTTCTACTGGAGAGTTGTGGTGATTGGATCAAGGGAAAGACTTTTCGGAGTTACGGAATTGAAGAGTTTTAGAATTAATCGTTAGCGCTACAAGGTGGGATGAGTTGCATGTTTTAGAGGTATTTTTCGCTATTTATTTTAAAGTTGGTTTATTAATCCTGTATAGGCTAGGCGGTCTTTTGCTTGTATTTTTTCTTTTTTCTACTGGAGAGTTGGTTTGTTTGCATAGAAAAAAAGAAAGAAAGTAAGAAAGAAAGAAAAAAAAGAAAGGAAGAAAGAAAGAAAGAAAGGAGAAAAGAAGACCGAAAAGAAAGATACAAGAATGAATGAATAAAAGAGAGAAAGAAAGTAAGAAAGAATGATCAAATAAAGAAAGGAGAAATGAAGGGTAGAAAAAAACAAAAAAAGAAAGAAAGAAAGAAAAAAAAATGAATGAAAGAAAGAAAAAATGAATGAATCAAAGAAAGAAAGAAAGAAAAATGACCAAAAAAGAAAGGAGAAATGCAAAGCAGAAAAAGAAAGAAAGAAATAAAGAAAGAAAGACTGATCAAATAAAGAAAGGAGAAATCAAGGGCAGAAAGAAAGAAAGAAAGAAAAAAGAAGAAAGAAAGAAAGGAATAAGAAAGAAAGAAAGAAAGAAAGAAAGAAAGAAAGGAAGGCTATAGACAAATAAAAACAGTAGACCGCAAGAGCGGAAAAATGTGTAAAAGACAGAAAAATAAAGAAGTAAAAAAAGGAGAAAGATAGAAAAAAAGAAAGAAAATAAGTAAATTAAGGAAGCGGAAAATAAAGAAAAAAAAAGGAAAAAAACAACGAAAACAAGCAAACAAACAAAATAAGAAAAGAAGACAGAAAATAACCAAATGAAAATAAAATAAAGAAAGAGGATAATGTAAGAAAGAAAAAATACTAAAGAACTTTGGATTATTTACCTAACGAGTTTTTCCTATTTTCTATATATTTTTACACACACACACACACACACATATATACATAATTATATATATATGAATCTGATAGATAAAAATGAACAGACTGAGAGATAGAAACACTGAAAGAAAATAGATAAACAGCTAGATAGATATGACGATAGATAAAGAACAGATTGAGATAGATAGACAGACAGATAGACAGATAGATAGATAGGTAGATAGATAGATAGATAGATAGATAGATAGATAGATAGATAGATAAAAAACCGACTGAGCTAGCTAGATAGATAGAGAACAGACTGAGATAGATAGATAGATAGATAGATAGATAAAGAACAGACTGAGATAGATAGATAGATAGATAGATAGATAAAGAACAGACTGAGATAGATAGATAGATAGATAGATAGATAGATAGATAGATAGATAGAGAACAGACTGAGATAGATAGATAGATAGATAGATAGATAATGAACAGACTGAGATAGATAGATAGATAGATAGATAGATAGATAGATAGAGAACAGACTGAGATAGATAGATAGATAGATAGATAGATAGATAGATAGATAGATAGATAAAGAACAGACTGAGATAGATAGATAGATAGATAGATAGATAGATAGATGGAGAATAGACTGAGATAGATAGATAGATAGATAGATGGATAAAGAACAGACTGAGATAGATGGATGGATAGATAGATAGATAGATAGATGGATAGAGAACAGACTGAGATAGATAGATAGATAGATAGATAGATAGATAGATAGATAGACAGACAAAGAACAGACTGAGATAGATAGATAGATAGATAGATAGATAGATAAAATATTTTCTGCCCGTACTTAATACTGTTTGTTTTCTAATTGACATTAAAGCCGTTTTTGTTTGTTTGGCTCTTCTTTTTTTTTCTTTTTTCGTAAAATAACACTGAATAACTTATTTGCAAAGAGCTCCGGCATTAATGGCGAACGCACTGTAAACATTGGGACGTAAGATATCTTTTCTCCTAGCAGCAGATCAATACATTATCAAAATAAATGTACATCAAGGAAAGATGCCCATATCATACCAAAATGTGCGTAACTGTCTCGCTTTATATTCGCTATTAATGTGAAAGAAAAGAACCCCCCTTCTTCCTCTTCTCTGTCCTTTCGTACCCAAGGCGACTTCACTAAATATCAATAAATAAACGAATTTTGTTGGTCCTAAAGTGTTTTGAGCATTGACACAAGTTTTAATCAAAATATTACACGAATATATATATATATATATATATATATATATATATATATATGTATGTGTGTGTGTGCAAATATAGACAATAGGAAAGAACCGTCAGGTTAATAATCCGAAGTTCTTTAGTATTTTTGTTTTTATTTAAAAAAAAACAGTGTTCTATACACAAGTAGAGCATCTATTATAATTATTTTAAAAAAAATGGATTCCATCGCTACATATGAGTTCTCATGTTTCAAAAGCAGAAGCTAAAAAACTTCAAATTAATTATAGAAATGAAATGAAATTAAAGTACCTAGTTCTGTTTCATCCTCAAGCGAATTTTGGAATAACAAATTTAGAAATTTACGGAGCTTTATAAGCATATAGATTTGTAATATTAATTTCTGTGGAAACGGAGAAAACCAGTCATTTTAATAAGGGGCGGTAGGGTTTACATTTTTACTGAAAACAATTATAACAACATATTAGTTACTTTCGAAACTGGAATTTTTAAGATCAGCGTTCCGTTTCGTAATACGATCACGTCGGCGGCACGTCGGCGATGTTGTGAAAACGTATTCCTAAAATAGAGAATATTTTAAATGAAAAAGAATTTTCTTTTAATCTAAAATTTTAAGTACGTTTGTCCAGCATTAATCTTGCCAGAAAAGGAGAAATATTAAAGAAGCCGGGTCTAGTATTCACCGTGCGTGAGATAGATATCAAGCCTGCCTCATAAATGGCTCTAAGATTTTTATTATGAATATATTTTAAAATCTTTAGATATCAAAATCGAAATCTTAAGAATTTCAGTTATTCTGTTTTGATTAGTCTTATGTCTATCGTCTTTTCACGTTGACTTGAATATCGTCTAATTTTAATTATGTTTTCATAATTATGTCCTGAAGAAGGTCTACTAGATCGAAACGTCTGACGTCGACATTGAATCAACATGAAAACAGAATACTTGCATATTCGGATTTTTGTTTTCCATATTTTTCTTCACATATGTATGTATGTATGAATTTGTATCTGAACACGTACGCGTACATTTATATATATATATATATATATATATATATATATATATATATATATATATATATATGGTGGACTCTACTGTCATATTCGACGTATGAAGGTCAAGCAGCTCAGTTCCTACGGACCGACAGCACACATGAGTTCATTATAGTGGTGAAGGCTTTATGCAGAACCAGCCACAGGGCCGGAAACAGAGACCTGGTGCACTACGTGCCACAAGGTCCCCAAACGACCCTCCGCAGGTTTTGAATTCAGAGTTTTCCTTCTACAGCAGTTGCTTTCCAAGGCTATAGAACCCAGTCTGTCCTGCTATTTGTCCATAGCTCGAGGGAGAAAAAGACTAATCCTTTTCCTAATGGTATTAGCTTGTAAGTAAATGTAATGGATATGACTGGAATTTGAATTTGGTTCTAATATATATATATATATATATATATATATATATATATATATATATATAGGATTGGTGTATACGGAATAAATTCCAATAACCAACAATTACTATTCTTAAAAGAGTGCTCAATAGAGCGTAGAGAAAATATAATTATTTATTCGAAAATTATAATATAAATATGTTATAAAATCACTACAAAATGGTGATTTCATAATATATTTAGGTTATAATTTTTGAATAAATAATTATATATATATATATAACACTAATAAACTTATAAATATAAGCAGCTATACTAGACTGGCAAAAGCTTAGGGGTTTTATCTTGTAAATGAAAAAAATTAACACCCAAGGGAGAAAAGGGGTAAAAAAGAAAGAACTAAGAACATGTACTTCCGGCGAAAATAATCGTCTAGAATCTAAGTTCAGAGTTCAAAAAAAAAAAACCTCCGATACGAGTAAAGTAAAATAACTAAACAATGTACTCAGTCCGCTAAGCAGAGCAAAATAAGCAAATAAACCTAAAGAACCAGACTAACCTACCTAGGTTTCACCTACGCGGATCGTCTGGGCGGACTGGCTAAAGAGGTGCTATAAGAAATAGAAAATATATAGCTTTAGGCTATATATTTTCTGTTCTTATAGAAATCGGTCAGGTGATAAAAACAACAAAGATGAGGACAATGGTCCGTATGGAATTAGTGTTTGAATAACTGCTCACCCAGAAATTCACACAGAAGGCGATCAGATCATAAAAACAAAAAAGATGAGGACAATAGTCCGAATGTAAATAGTGTTTGAATAATGATAACTGCTCATCCCAGAAATTCACACAGAAGGCGATCAGGTGATAAAAACAACAAAGATGAGGATAATAGTCCGAATGTAAATAGTGTTTGAATAATGATAACTGCTCATCCCAGAAATTCACACAGAAGGCGATCAGGTGATAAAAACAACAAAGATGAGGATAATAGTCCGAATGTAAATAGTGTTTGAATAATGATAACTGCACATCCCAGAAAGTCACACAGAAGGCGATCAGGTGATAAAAACAACAAAGATGAGGATAAGAGTCCGAATGTAAATAGTGTTTGAATAATGATAACTGCTCATCCCAGAAAGTCACACAGAAGGAGATCAGGTGATAAAAACAACAAAGATGAGGACAATAGTCCGAATGTAAATAGTGTTTGAATAATGATAACTGCTCATCCCAGAAATTCACACAGAAGGCGATCAGGTGATAAAAACAACAAACATGAGGAAAATAGTCCGAATGTAAATAGTGTTTGAATAATGATAACTGCTCATCCCTGAAATTCACACAGAAGGCGATCAGGTGATAAAAACAACAAAGATGAGGACAACAGTCCGAATGTAAATAGTGTTTGAATAATGATAACTCCTCATCCCAGAGATTCACACAGAAGGCGATCAGCTGATAAAAACAACAAAGATTAGGACAATAGTCCGAATGTAAATAGTGTTTGAATAATGATAACTGCTCATCCAAGAAATTCACACAGAAGGCTATCAGGTGATAAAAACAACAAAGATGAGGACAATAGTCCGAATGTAAATAGTGTTTGAATAATGATAACTGCTCATCCAAGAAATTCACACAGAAGGCGATCAGGTGATAAAAACAACAAAGATGAGGACAATAGTCCGAATGTAAATAGTGTTTGAATAATGATAACTGCTCATCCAAGAAATTCACACAGAAGGCTATCAGGTGATAAAAACAACAAAGATGAGGACAATAGTCCGAATGTAAATAGTGTTTGAATAATGATAACTGCTCATCCCGGAAATTCACACAGAAGGCGATCAGGTGATAAAAACAACAAAGATGAGGATAAGAGTCCGAATGTAAATAGTGTTTGAATAATGATAACTGCTCATCCCGGAAATTCACACAGAAGGCGATCAGGTGATAAAAACAACAAAGATGAGGACAACAGTCCGAATGTAAATAGTGTTTGAATAATGATAACTCCTCATCCCAGAGATTCACACAGAAGGCGATCAGATGATAAAACAACAAAAGATGAGGACAATAGTCCGAATGTAAATAGTGTTTGAATAATGATAACTGCTCATCCCTGAAATTCACACAGAAGGCGATCAGGTGATAAAAACAACAAAGATGAGGACAACAGTCCGAATGTAAATAGTGTTTGAATAATGATAACTGCTCATCCGGAAATTCACACAGAAGGCGATCAGGTGATAAAAACAACAAAGATGAGGACAACAGTCCGAATGTAAATAGTGTTTGAATAATGATAACTCCTCATCCCAGAGATTCACACAGAAGGCGATCAGATGATAAAAACAACAAAGATGAGGACAATAGTCCGAATGTAAATAGTGTTTGAATAATGATAACTGCTCATCCCAGAAATTCACACAGAAGGCGATCAGGTGATAAAAACAACAAAGATGAGGACAACAGTCCGAATGTAAATAGTGTTTGAATAATGATAACTGCTCATCCCGGAAATTCACACAGAAGGCGATCAGGTGATAAAAACAACAAAGATGAGGACAACAGTCCGAATGTAAATAGTGTTTGAATAATGATAACTCCTCATCCCAGAGATTCACACAGATGGCGATCAGATGATAAAAACAACAAAGATGAGGAAAATAGTCCGAATGTAAATAGTGTTTGAATAATGATAACTGCTCATCCCTTGAAATTCACACAGAAGGCGATCAGGTGATAAAAAACAACAAAAGATGAGGACAACAGTCCGAATGTAAATAGTGTTTGAATAATGATAACTCCTCATCCCAGAGATTCACACAGAAGGCGATCAGATGATAAAAACAACAAAGATGAGGACAATAGTCCGAATGTAAATAGTGTTTGAATAATGATAACTGCTCATCCCAGAAATTCACACAGAAGGCTATCAGGTGATAAAAACAACAAAGATGAGGACAATAGTCCGAATGTAAATAGTGTTTGAATAATGATACCTGCTCATCCCTGAAATTCACACAGAAGGCGATCAGGTGATAAAAACAACAAAGATGAGGACAATAGTCCGAATGTAAATAGTGTTTGAATAATGATAACTGCTCATCCCAGAAATTCACACAGAAGGCGATCAGGTGATAAAAACAACAAAGATGAGTACAATAGTCCGAATGTAAATAGTGTTTGAATAATGATAACTGCTCATCCAAGAAATTCACACAGAAGGCGATCAGGTGATAAAAACAACAAAGATGAGGACAATAGTCCGAATGTAAATAGTGTTTGAATAATGATAACTGCTCATCCCAGAAATTCACAAAGAAGGCAATCAGGTGATAAAAACAACACAGATGAGGACAATAGTCCGAATGTAAATAGTGTTTGAATAATGATAACTGCTCATCCCAGAAATTCACACAGAAGGCGATCAGCTGATAAAAACAACAAAGATGAGGATAATAGTCCGAATGTAAATAGTGTTTGAATAATGATAACTGCTCATCCCAGAAATTCACACAGAAGGCGATCAGGTGATAAAAACAACAAAGATGAGGACAATAGTCCGAATGTAAATAGTGTTTGAATAATGATAACTGCTCATCCCAGAAATTCACACAGAAGGCGATCAGGTGATAAAAACAACAAAGATGAGGATAATAGTCCGAATGTAAATAGTGTTTGAATAATGATAACTGCTCATCACAGAAATTCACATAAAAGGAAATCAGGTGATATAAGCAACAAAGAAGGCCGGAGGGCACAACGGCCGAAACGTCGGGTAACATCTAGAAGGACCTAGAAAATAGTATGAATATAAAAAAAAGTAAATAATGTTAGCACCTCATTCCAGAAATCCAGGCAAAATCTACATCTTTTTCGACATGTAGGTAATTACTGATTACCTAACTACGTTTTCATTCTCCCCTATTAGACAGGTATAGGAAGGATATACATTCCTAATATTCTTTGCGAGTTTTTTGTTTGTTTTTTGTTATTATCTAAAGTCCGATATTAAATAGAAAAAAATAGCATTCACGTCTTTAAGTCGACGTCCGCCATCAACGTATGTATATAAGGCTGGCTTTTTTTTTTCTGTTGCCATAGCGGTTGGATGGGGCGTGTGGCGGTAAGAACGTCGCCTTTAGTTACATGCGTATACGACATTGAAAGCCAGAAGTCATATATAATGCATAGATCGCTGTCATATACATTGTTTAATAAACGGATGTTTTTCCAAATCACTTCGGACCAGCGTACCACAACTTTTTAGAGGCGGACGTCATATAATATTAGCAGTTGTGACTAAAGACAGTTATCTAATCTTGTTGCCTTTCTATATTTGCTGTACAGCCTTACGAGTTTTAACAGATTTAGAGCAACGTCGACTGGTCTTTGGCTCTTATTCTTTTTCTACGCCAGCCTTGTGATCAAAATCAACCACAACGTGCGACAAGGCAAGTCTTGGATCGAAGTGATCAACTCAACGCTTACTCGCTAGGATCGAACATCGAAAATTATAAAGAGGTGCTATAAGAACTGAAAATATATAGCCTCTTTAGCCAGTCCGCCATGACGATCCGCGTAGGTGAAACCTAGGTAGGTTAGACTGGCTTTAGGTTTATTTACTTATATATATATATATATATATATAGATAGATAGATAGATAGATAGATAGATAGATAATATTAGTGGTAAATATACATACATATGAAAAATATATAAATACCCATACATGTACATTTTTTTTAAAATAAAAATTCCAAGAGGAAGAATCCAGGTAGAACTCAATGTCTAGGACAGAGTAAAGATATAAAAGGCTTAAATACTAATATTCCATGCTCATAATTTATTCCATTGGAATCAGGGGTGAAAATATATATATATATATATATATATATATATATATATATATATATATATATATATATATATATATATATCGATTGGTGAGTGCTTCGAGCTTCTGAGAAGCCATATCTGTCTGACAATATGCAGCTAGCTGGAAGTGGCCTGGCCAGCTTCAAGGGACACGATCTATAACGAATAATCAATCGCGATCACTCTGAAGGCCAGACGACCTGGGGTCACGAGATCAACCTTACATTTCGTTATTTTCCGCCATTGTCAGTTTATTCTCTCCCTTTTCACAAATATATTTGTTTTCAATATCAGAAAGAAAAATAAACTTCATATATATGCTCCATTTTATATTTTTTAAATTCGCGCATGCGCTTTCTTTGATTTTGATTTTTCCTGCACTGTAGATTAGGGTCGGTTGGGCACCCTCTGCGAGAAATTCACCACCCTGACATAATTGATCGCACAAGAAATCTGGAAACGGCATATTTTACGGACTTTAACAGTGCTCATATTGCAACTTTTTTTGTTATAGACAGACCATTTTGATTGTTGAAAATCAAAGTTGCCTGGAAAACAAGAAGTCAGAAGAGAGTTCCATAAGCTAGAAATACGATCGAATAAACTCTTATCATAGAACTTATGCTTACATGTAGCCATTTCTGCAAGTCATTTTCCGCCATGTCCTTTAACATTTCTCAGATAAGTAAACTTCTTTAGTTTATAGACTGTTTCAAATATATGTATATGCTTAATTATGTACGGTCAACCGAGAAGAAATGACTTATTGATATTTACGAAACTTGTTTTATTAAAGTTCAATGAAAATCGGAGAAAGGCGTTGAACTGCGATTTAAAATGGACGAATGTGTAGGGTATGAAATCAAATGACTGTAAAAGCAAACTAATTCAACCCAACGAAGACAATAAAGCCACTAAGACGCAAGGGATTACAGAGTGTGAAAGAATATGAGAGAAAAAAATTAAAGAGAGAGTATAATAAAAGAACAGGAATTAAGAAAACAGAAGATAACGATTGACATGACATTTAAAAGTTCGTTGTTTACTGGATTCTCTGCTGGCTTATGTTACTTTTTCATTAATCATAAAATCGTCCGGCTACACTTACCATACAGCAGTTAAACACATTTTTTTCTTTGTTTCTAATTTTTTTTTCTTTCACTTAATACGTTATTTAAGTTTTGGAATACTTTTTTTTCTCGCTATTCCAACGTCCCGTCGGATTTCTGCAAATCATTTTCCGCCATGTTTTATGACATTTTTCAGATACGTAAGCATTTATAGTTTGTAGTCTGTCTCAAATATGCCTTTAAGCTTAATTGCGTACTGCCGACCGTGAGGATATGACTTATTGATAATAACGAGACTTGTTTCATTAAAGTGCAGTGTCAACGGGGAAATGTGACCAACTGATATTAAATATGCTTGAATGTTGAAATGGCTACATGCAATGCCTTATAAGCCGAAAAATACGGTAATTCATGCGTTTTTAACGTTCTTTTTCCTAAATAAGTAAATGTTTTTTTTTTTTTTTTCATGTTCTTTCTCGTTCAGGCAGTTTTGGTCAACAATCCAATTTTCGAATTGTTCCAAGTTAGATACACCGTTCCGACGACTGCCGATGCAATCGTTCCGGCCGCGCTCAGGCTAGAAATTACGCTTACATCTAGCGATATAAACTGTGAATTGATGAGACCTTGCCGCCAATCTAGTACTGCGTTTAAATTCATAAAGTCCAGGTACCATAGAGGAAAGGTCATCAGAACAATGACCATGAAAGTATTTCTAGAAAAAGCACTGGAAAGCCACGTTACGGTGGTAGGAAATTGACTGAAACCAAGATGCTAGGTCAGGACCAATAACATTGCAGAATCTTCCTTAGATTTTATCAAGAATTTAAAATAAATATATATATATATATATATATATATATATATATATATATATATATATATAGATAGATAGATAGATAGATAGATGAGATAGATGGATGAGATAGATAGATAGATAGATAGATAGATAGATAGATGGAATAGATAGATTGGAACAGACTGAGATAGATGGATAGATAGATAGATAGATAGGAACAGACTGAGATAGATAGATAGATAGATAGATAGATAGATGAACAGATTGAACAGACTGAGATATATAGATAGATACATAGGAACAGACTGCGATAGATAGATAGATAGATAGATAGATAGATAGGAACAGACTGAGATAGATAGATAGATAGATAGATAGATAGATAGATAGATAGATATGAACAGACTGAGATAGATAGATAGATAGATAGATAGGAATATGAACAGACTGAGATAGATAGATAGAATAGATGAGATAGATAGATAGATAGATGGATGGATAGATAGATAGATATGAACAGACTGAGATAGATAGATAGATAGATAGATAGATAGATAGATAGATAGATAGATATAGGAACAGACTGAGATAGATAGATAGATGGATAGATAGATAGATAGATAGAGATGGAACAGACTGAGGATAGATAGATAGATAGATAGATAGATAGATAGATAGATAGATGAGATAGATAGATAGATAGATAGATAGACTGAGATAGATAGATGGATAGATAGATGGGGAAACAGACTGAGATAGATAGATAGATAGATAGATGGAGGTAGATGGATAGATAGATGGATAGATGATGGATAGACTGGGATAGATGGATAGATAGATAGATAGATAGATGGATAGATAGATAATGAACAGAATTAAATACATATATCTGAATATAAATATATAAATAGATGGGTGGGTGGACATATTGATAGATAGATAGATATGGATAGAATTATATATATATATATATATATATATATATATATATATATATATATGAATATAATTAGATAGATATGAACAGAATGAGATCCATATATATGGATATTTTTAGATAGATAGATAGATAGATAGATAGATATAAATAGAATGAAAAATATATATGTGAATATAATTAGATAGATAGATACATAGATAGATATAAACAGAATTAGATACATGCATATGGATATCCTTAGATAGATAGATACGAACAGAATGAGTTAGCTAACTATACAGATATATACGAACAGAGATAAATAGATATAAGTTTGGTTCTAGAAATTATTGGAGGCTCTGCAAGAGCGTGCTGAACAACAGCAAATCCTCAATCCCCTCTCTATTCAATCAATTCGAAGTCTTTATATCGAAAGCAGATGAGGTTGAATGCTTTGCTCATAAATTCTTGTCTATCTCAACACTAGACCCATCCGGGGTGCCACACTCGATTTCCCCCGACAACTGAGGCTCTACTGAGTGAGATATGCACAACCCCATTGTTGGTCTCGGACCTATCTCAGACAGAATTCTAGAGGCTCTTGTCCGTTGCTTAATATGATGTGCCCCGATAGGGCTAAACACGGTTTTGTCTTCGGAATATTTCATTCCTCTAGACTCGCTGATAACCACGGCTAGTGAACCTGTACACCCGGCGGGTTAACCCTTAGCCCTCGACGATCGGGGTAAATTAATGAATGTATGAACTTATTTGGCGATAACTTATTGCTACTTATCAGTTTTCTCTTCGATAACTTTTTGGGCAAACCAGCAAGGTTTTGGTGTGAAAATATTTTCATCGTTTTCATAAAAAAAAAAAAGTTCTCCCCACAAAAGCTTTTTTTATTCGACGGTCGCATACATGACATTTTTTTTTTATTCTAGACTGGCGGCCAGCCATGGTTAGAGAGCGCAGATTGGCCTCTTATATAAGCTGGTGGTGGGGAGAGAAAAGATGGATCCACCGTCGCAAAAGTGAATATGAAACGAGTCGGCTCGTTAACCACCACACCGCCTGCATATCGAGATCGATAGAACCGACACTGATAACGCTATAGGACAGGTTGTGTCTGAATATTTAGCAGCAATATCTATAAATAATTCACACTTGGATCCTTTTGCAATAGTGCCTATAGGCAAGATATATTGTTCAGCTAATCGCGTTGATAAATGATCCGAGATTTTAGCAGTCAATATTTTCAGTTCGCCATAGAGTCAGTCAAGATACACAATTCATAATGGCCTCTTCCAATATTTTATCATCTCAACTCTGGAAATTCAATCAGACTTATCTAATTGCACATCTAAACACAGATATAAATATCCGGCATATATTTTATTGTATCTCTCTTATAAAGAAGATACCTCCTGAGGGTCGCAGACACAAGTTACATCCACATATAGTCAACTAATAATACATAGGCACATAAAATTCATAGAATAAAAGACAGAAACATTGAATCAAAACTAATTTACCTTTGGAAGAACAAATTACGAAATTGGGCAGAAAAATTCATAGGCTGACTATGAAGGAATGGTGCTAGATCAGGAAAATATTGCATGCGTTATTTTCAACTCTTCTTATTAATAACTACAGTGGTTTTGTCCATGTCCGAGGGTGGGCTGAAATGTTCATAGGCTGACTATGAAGGAGTGATATTAGAGCTGTGAAATCTTGTATGCATTAATTTCAACTCTTCTTATTAATAACTGCATTGTTTCTATTCAGGTCCGAGGGTGGGCTGAAATGTTCATAGGCAGACTATGAAGGAGTGATGTTAGAGCTGTGAAACCTTGTATGCATTAATTTCAGCACTTCTTATTAATAACTGCATTGTTTCTATTCAGGTCCGAGGGTGGACTGAAAAGTTCATAGGCTGTCTATGAAGGAGTGATATTAGAGCTGTGAAATCTTGTATGCATTCATTTCAACTCTTCTTAATAATAACTGCATTCTTTTCAGTTAAAATAACATCTCATTGTTCAAAGAAGACTTCAGAAGTTTTTTTTCTCGCCAGCAGTTTCCTGAAAAAGCGAATTCTGCGTTCGGGTAAGATCATGAATATCAGGGATGGGTTCATAGATTTGGGATTTAGTTGAACGTTGTCTCCAAGCGATGCTAACTATAGCTCTTAATATTCAAGTGTAGGTTCCATCACGCTTAGACTGTGGGATTTTTAACTGATATCCAGGCGCTGGCATCATACATGAACACTGCTTCTACAGTGGCTCGAAAAAATGGCAGACACGGAAAAGAAATTACAAAATCTCCTACAGAAGGTAGCGAAGGAGAGCCAGAAGAAGGGACTATGCATAAACTACAAGAAGACAGAATGCATGGTCATCAGTAAGAAGATGAGCCCGAAATGCGATGTAAAGGTCGGGAACATTAGAATCAAGCAGACGTGGAAGTTTAAATATCTGGGAAGTGTTTTGACAGAGGACGGTAAATGCGATACTGAGATCCGAAGACGTATCGGGATGGCCATGGACACATTTCAAAAGCTGGACAGAGTATTGCGAGACAGGAGGATTTCTTTGGCAACAAAGAAAAGATTACTGAGCTGTTACGTGACATCTGTCCTCCATTACGGCAGCGAATGCTGGACGGTCTCCTCAAGGATGAAGTAGAGATAGGATGCGTCGGAGATACGGTTCTATAGAAGGATGCTGAGGATATCATGGACCGAGCGTGTGAACAACGATGAGGTCTTAGAAAAGTTGTAAACAGGGCTTATACTTTATATCAGAAGTTACCGAGACACGTAATAAGAAAAGAGGGCCTGGAGAATCTGATACTCACACGTCGAAGAGAGGCTAAAGAGAGACACTGAAAAACCAACGCATGATATACCTGTCAGGCTTTAAGCAAGTGGATGACAGAACGTGGTCTGGGGGAGATAGCAGAGGTAGGGAAGTTATTGAGAGCTACAAAGGACAGGAGGAAGTGGAAAGCTATGATCGCCTACGCCCTGAAGGGACACGGCACATAGAAAGAAAGAAAGTCGAACAGATTTCGAGATTATATCCATTTCATTCAAGGCGATCCAGAAGTAAGCTATGAGAATTTTCATATCAATTTCAGTAGAATTTTTCTCGCTTCTGAGGTACGTAAAAAACTTCTCCGGATACAGCTTGATGGCTGAAGTCTGTGAATACAGTTTGAGAGGCATTGATTCGAACATCGTTGGCTGTATTTTCTAGATGACGTAGGAGAACTGTAAGAACTATATATATATATATATATATATATATATATATATATATATAAGAAATATAGTCTTTAGGTGTGCTATATTTATGGGATAATATCAGAGATAGAGCGTGTGTAAATATAAAAGTGAACATAGAAATCAACGCTTAGAGGCGACAGTCTGTTTCATGCTATATGCAATCGCCAGGCCACGTGTGCTGTTACTTTTCTTGGCTATTTATACATATAAGTGTCAGTGGGGCATTGTGGGTAGTCTATTATGGCGGTTGTTTTACCGGAAGTCGTTTATTTATTTATTTGGGTTAAATCATTTTTGCTTGTTTTTATTTAATTTATATATATATATATATATATATATATATATATATATATATATATATATATTGTTGCCAAGGGCTTTGTTCGGGGAAAGCTTTTCTTAAATGAAAACCAGATTCGAAAATTCAACACGTCAAGACTTGCAGAATTTAAGCCCAAAAGCATGAAAGAGCTGTCTGGTTCGTGGCAAAAGTTCATTGCAAATAATGTTTGATATATAACTGTATAAAATATAATTTTACTTTATTTTTTATGTTGGGCAGTAGAAATACTTCCTACATCATGGTACAGCATTAGCGATCTGAAGACACCGTTGCTATTAATGTGTTGGCGGTATTTCTGGGAAGTATATGTGGGAGGTCTCTCTCTCTCTCTCTCTCTCTCTATCTATCTATCTATATATATATATATATATATATATATATATATATATATATATATAAATCTCTCTCTCTCTCTCTATATATATATATATATATATATATATATATATATATATATATATATATATATAAAAACTATTTACATTATTCGGACTAATGTCCCCATTTTGTTGCCATGTTTATCACAATGTTTCAGACGTTGTACGCTCCGGCCTCCTTCAGGTGGTTGGAATGTCGAACTGAACGATTTATTTCGCTCACTCAGGTAGACTGTTCTAGTTCCACGTGCCATGTGTAATGGATGTCAGTTATCACCTGTTAATTCCACTCTGAAAGTTCTCCACTGCCTTAACCGGGTATTGAACTCACACTCTTCAAGGACACATGGCACAGTCGATAAAGGCGTTAATTAGATCCAGTGACAGGACCCAAAGTGTTGTGATAAACATGCCGACAAAGATGAGGACAATAGTCCGAATCATGTAAATATATGGTCTGGTAGTCCCGTTGTTGATCTCGAGGTCCTAGACAAAGTCCAGAGACGGATATGCAATGTGATAGGTCCTGACCTGACATCTCGTCTACAGTCACTTTCTCACAGACGTGATGCGGCTTCCTTCTGTCTTTTCTACAAATACTTTCACGGTATCTGCTCTGGCGATCTGTTTTCACTGGTACGCCTACTGCATGAATTTAAGCGTGCTACTAGGTTGGCATCTTGGTAACCACTCTTTCACTGTCGAAACAGTTAAATGTAGCCGTCTCTTCTACTCCAACAGCTTCTTCTCTCGCACTTCCCGCCAGTGGAACTCCTTTCATTCTACTTGCTTTCCTGATAGATATAATCTTCAAATATTCAAATGTAATGTCAATCGGCATCGTTAATGGCCTCATTCTGATCCACGTCCTTGTCTATATCCTTTCCTCAAATACCCGTCTTTACATTTGCTCTCATTCTCTGTAACCCCTTGCGTGCTAGTGGCACTCCCACCTTGC